GGGGCGACCCTATTCAAAATCAATTTTCTCAATTTTTTCTTCGAAAGTTTATCCAAATGGATTAAAACTTTGCATAAATATTCTAGTACTTAAAACAAATACAAATAAAACATCTTAAAATTTTTTTGAGCAAAGAACCAAGTATGAAATACATTTTCAATTTTGGACTAGGGGCGACCCTAGTCAAAATCAATTTTCTCACTTTTTTCTTCGAGGGTTTATCCAAATGAATTGAAACTTTGCATAAATATTCTAGTGCTTAAAACAAAGACAAATAAAACATCCTAAATGTTTTTGAGCAAAGAACCAAGTAGGAAATACATTTTCAATTTTGGACTAGGGGCGACCCTTGTCAAAATCAATTTTCTCAATTTTTTCTTCGAAAGTTTTTCCAAATGGATTGAAACTTTGCATTATTATTTTGGTGCTTAAAACAAATACAAAAAAAACGTCCTAAAATTTTTTTGAGCAAAGAACCAAGTAGGAAATACATTTTCAATTTTGGACTAGGGGCGACCCTATTCAAAATCAATTTTCTCAATTTTTTCTTCGAAAGTTTATCCAAATGGATTGAAACTTTGCATAAATATTCTAGTGCTTAAAACAAATACAAATAAAACATCCTAAAATTTTTTTGAGCAAAGAACCAAGTAGGAAATACATTTTCAATTTTGGACTAGGGGCGACCCTAGTCAAAATCAATTTTCTCAATTTTTTCTTCGAGAGTTTATCCAAATGGATTGAAACTTTGCATAAATATTCTAATGCTTATAACAAAGATAAATAAAACATCCTAAAATTTCTTGAGCAAAGAACCAAGTAGGAAATACATTTTCAATTTTGGACTAGAGGCGACCCTAGTTAAAATCAATTTTCTCAATTTTTTCTTCGAGAGTTTATCCAAATGGATTGAAACTTTGCATAAATATTCTAATGCTTATAACAAAGATAAATAAAACATCCTAAAATTTCTTGAGCAAAGAAACAAGTAGGAAATACATTTTCAATTTTGGACTAGGGGCGACCCTATTCAAAATCAATTTTCTCAATTTTTTCTTCGAAAGTTTATCCAAATGGATTGAAACTTTGCATAAATATTCTACGGCTTAAAACAAATACAAATAAAACATCTTAAAATTTTTTTGAGCAAAGAACCAAGTATGAAATACATTTTCAATTATGAACTTGTGACAGGTCTAGTCAAAATCTAGTTTTTCATTTTTTTTTCGAAGGTTTATCCAAATGGATTGAAACTTTGCATAAATATTCTAGTGCTTAAAACAAATACAAATAAAACATCCTAAAATTTTTTTGAGCAAAGAACCAAGTAGGAAATACATTTTCAATTTTGGACTAGGGGCGACCTTAGTCAAAATCAATTTTCTCACTTTTTTCTTCGACGGTTTATCCAAATGAATTGAAACTTTGCATTAATATTCTAGTGCTTAAAACAAAGACAAATAAAGCATTCTAAATGTTTTTGAGCAAAGAAATAAGAAGGAAATACATTTTCAATTATGGACTAGGGGCGACCCTAGTCAAAATCATTTTTCTCACTTTTTTCTTCGAGGGTTTATCCAAATGAATTGAAACTTTGCATAAATATTCTAGTGCTTAAAACAAAAACAAAAAAAATATCATAAAATTTTTTTGACCAAAGAACCAAGTAGGAAATACATTTTCAATTTTGGACTAGGGGCGACCCTATTCAAAATCAATTTTCTCAATTTTTTCTTCGAAAGTTTATCCAAATGGATTGAAACTTTACATAAATATTCCAGTGCTTAAAGAAAATACAAATAAAACATCCTAAAATTTTTTTGACCAAAGAACCAAGTAGGAAATACATTTTCAATTTTGGACTAGGGGCGACCCTAGTCAAAATCAATTTTCTCACTTTTTTCTTCGACAGTATATCCAAATGAATTGAAACTTTGCATAAATATTCTAGTGCTTAAAACAAAGACAAATAAAATATCCTAAATGTTTTTGAGCAAAGAAATAAGTAGGAAATACATTTTCAATTTTGGACTAGGGGCGACCCTATTCAAAATCAATTTTCTCACTTTTTTCTTCGACGGTTTATCCAAATGAATTGAAACTTTGCATAAATATTTTGGTGCTTAAAACAAATACAAATAAAAAATCCTAAAATTTTTTTGAGCAAAGAACCAAATAGGAAATACATTTTCAATTTTGGACTAGGGGCGACCCTAGTCAAAATCAATTTTCTCAATTTTTTCGTCGAAAGTTTATCCAAATGAATTGAAACTTTGCATAAATATTCTGGTGCTTAAAATATTACAAATAAAATATCCTTAAATTTTTTTAGCAAAGAACCAAGTAGGAAATACATTTTCAATTTTGGACTAGGGGCGACCCTAGTCAAAATCAATTTTCTCACTTTTTTCTTCGAGGGTTTATCCAAATGGATTGAAACTTTGCATAAATATTGAAATGCTTTAAACAAAGACAAATAAAGCATCCTAAAATTTTTTTGAGCAAAAAACCAAGTAGGAAATACATTTTCAATTTTGGACTAGGGGCGACCCTAGTCAAAATCAATTTTGTCACTTTTTTCTTCGAAAGTTTATCCAAATGGATTGAAACTTTGCATAAATATTCTAGTGCTTAAAACAAATACAAATAAAACATCTTAAAATTTTTTTGAGCAAAAAACCAAGTAGGTAATACATTTTCAATTTTGGACTAGGGGCGACCCTAGTCAAAATCAATTTTCTCACTTTTTTCTTCGAGGGTTTATCCAAATGGATTGAAACTTTGCATAAATATTCAAATGCTTTAAACAAATACAAATAAAACATCTTAAACGTTTTTTGAGCAAAGAACCAAGAAGGGAATACATTTTCAATTATGAACTTCTGACAGGTCTAGTCAAAATCTAGTTTTTCCCTTTTTTTCCTTGAAGGTTTATCCAATTACAATTACGAAGGTTTATTTGTATTTGTTTTAGGCATTAGAATATTTATGCATAGTTTCAATCCATTTGGAAAAACCCTCGAAGAAAAAAGTGACAAAATTGATTTTGACTAGGGTCGCCCCTAGTCCAAAATTGATAATTGATTTTCTATGGTGTACTTTGGTCAAAAAAATTTTTTGGATGTTTTATTTGAATTGACATAATTCTGACATAAATCACATACCAATATTACTTTTTGTAATGCATAGCTTAAAAAAAATCGAAATCTAAAATTTCGACTACCCCATCTGAATTTTGTTCATACTCTTTACTGTGGAAACCAAAAAACAAATTCTTTATCTTAAAACACTTGACAAAATAGCGACATAATTCAGGATTAATTACTTTTTAATAATATTTTAACATTTACGAGAAAATGTGGTTCAAATAAGTGTTAAGTATGGCCGAGATTTGGACCTAAATCAGCTATACTGGTTCATAGTGTTCCCGAGGATGATAAACTTCAAACTAAGTGTTTTTGTAGCTGACATAATTATAACATAAATTAGGTATAACTTTTGAACTGTGTCGATATGGGTCTCGGCCTTTCTTCATGCCCACCCTTCAAACTTATGCTGAACAAATCTTGGTCTATCCATAAGACTTTTGATGGTACGGTGTGAATATATCCGCATTGGGTTTCTACCCGATACACTTGTTTCACTTTTATTACAGAACTGTATCTTATTCGTAGATAATCCAGAAGCTCTACAACTTTTTTTTTTGGTGAGCTTTCTGTGTCAATTTTCCAAGTTGGAATCTGAGTATGTAAAATTATTGAAAATTTATTTTAAACTAATTTTTAAATCAATAAACAATAAGTTACTTTAAGTAATTATGTCTATAAAAATGAATTTCCAGCCTTATATACTTAATTGTTTGAATGATTGCACGTGTATCTTTACAAATTGTGTATTTTTTAATAGACATCAGTAAATACGCTTTCGTCTATATTTTTGGCATGCTTCTTCGACGATATTCCTTGGCTGAAAGCTTAAAAGCATTAAATGTGGCAATTTGGAAGTTTGCGCTTTATTGCGGTATGCATAAATAATATAAAAGTACTTAAGATTATTCAATGTTCCTGTTCCTCAAAAATAACATAAAGATCTGCAAGACGATTCATGATTTAAACTTAAAGCACTCATCCTGATAAAAATGCTTAACATAAATAAACTCATTACCTTTTATTTATGAAGAAAACCTGTAAAATAATTCATGACTCAAGGTGAAAATGTTAAAAGACATGCAATTCTCGAATTGGCAAAATGCTTCATTAAAAATTATGAAGGAATTATTTTGTGTCTAGTCGAAATTATTATTGCGTATTGAAAATGGCTTTTTTTATGGCAATTACCAAAAGAGTTGATTTATGTAGACATTTTAATGAGGGAACTATTTTTTTCATTGGGTTTATTTTGATGATAATAAAGTTTGAAATTGAGTGTAATTTCATTCTTATCAGAAAGTACTATGAACGATTATCAGCATGTTACAACCAATATGTACTCAATTTTTACTGAAAGGCTAAGGTTCGAATACTCATGAGTTGTTTTCAAAGACTATATTTTTAAAATTGAGTGATGTTTCTTATCAGTTTTGTGTAAAAAAAATTATTTGAGTGATAAATTTAAATAATTTTGTGATTCAGACATAGATTAGTGACTAATTAAGCGATTATTCATTGTGTCAATAATCTTTTGAAAAATTCAAAAATTATGTCGCAAATAATTTCAAATTTCTTCTGGCAATTGAAAAATTGATTTTCAATTTTAATGCTTAAATTAATGTTATTACCGTTATTACATTTAAAAAAATGTTTTCTTTGAGTGCTACTCATGCTTTACGTCATTTTCATAATACATAGAAACATACCAAACAGCTGGTAAAGTCATTTCATTCTTTTCCAGCAACATGATTTAAATGTGTTGGTGACTGTACAGTCATACCTGAAAATGCGAAACTATTTAATACAAACGAAATAATATCTCAGTACAAAAAGTTTCTGGGTCATAAAGAACTCTCTGTTTTGTTTATTCTTTGTTGATTAGATTTATTATAAGACTGGAAGTAAATCATTTGAACTTTTGAGTTCGTAGGAGAAAGGCTGAAGTTTTTTGATTGGTTCTGCATGTGTTCTCAAAGTGACTTAGTTTAAAAAATTAATAAGATATAAGAATCATTTTCGGTAAGAAGCATTTAAGAAATCTTTTGTGCATTCAATTATTAAATGAGTCATTTGACATGAATATAGCAATAAAAAATTATTTCTATTTCGGTAGATAAGAAGTGACATCACAGCTTGACAATAGAAAGCTAATTATCAACTAGCTTCATTATTCGTAGATAATCAATCACAGAAACAGACGTGCAAAATGAGTCCGGAATGGGCTAAAATTGTTACAATGCTGACTCTGGGTCTTGGATCTATGATCATTGGTTTGCTTCCAGCAGCTTTCACAAACTATAATTTTCGTCGATCTCCTTTATTACTCACATTCCTATTGTGCTTTGGTGCTGGAATTCTTATGGCAACAAGCTTAGTTCATATGCTTCCGGAAGTAAGTCTTTTATTTATTAACACTTTTGATTCATTAGTCATTTCATACTTTTTTTTAAACTTTTTTGAACAGGTCAGCGAAGATCTTGGTCACGGATTTGCTGAAATAATTTTCTGTGTAGGATTCTTAATCGTTTATCTTGCGGACGAGTTGCTACATTTTTGTTGTGGCGAAGCTATACAACATACACATGAACATAATAATCCAGATGAAGAAAGACAATTAATTCTCCCAGTTGAATCCTCGACTAGTCATTCACATCAAGTTGTACAAACCTATGGAACTACAGAAAAAACAAAGATAGAAACTTGTGAAGAACATCAGCATCATCATGACGTTCAAGATGAATTAATTAATGAGAGAATTTGTCACACTAGTCATGTTGAACCTTGCAGACAGACTTTGGCTGGAGTGATTGGAATGCTAACAGCTCTATCTATTCATGCATTGATTGAAGGATTAGCTATAGGGATACAAGATACAACGCCTCGAGTAATGATATTATTTACAGCCGTAATTTCACATAAATTTGTCGTTGGATTTTGTCTTGGTGTTGAACTCTCTGTTAGTTCTGGTGCTTCATTTAAACACCACTTTGCAGCTATTTTTGTATTCTCAATGGGAAGTGTTCTTGGCATTGCAATTGGAATGGGACTAGTTGATCTCAGCTCAGTGTCTGACTCAAAGTTTTTGCCTATTATGCAAGGCATCGCTGGAGGTACTTTATTGTATGTTACAGTCTGTGAAGTTTTGCCAAGAGAAAAAGCTCGTTGGCATCAAAATCGTGTGAATAGAGCAGCTGGCTTATCTCAGTTACTTGCATTTACATTAGGCTTTACGGTTATGACTCTCCTAAATACTTATGTTAAAGATGATTAATTATGATTATAAGATGAAGATCTATTGTTGAGATTATTTTTTTAATACTCGCTGTTTTGTACCCAAAAATTTGTAGGTTTATGTAATTAGAATAAATTTACTCCTCAATAATCATTGCATTGATATAAAGTTGAAAAAGAAAATCTTAATTTCTCGGAAAATGTTTGTCGCAAGAAGCAGTAAAGTCTTGAGGCTTGCATATCCAAATTTGCAGCGATGTAGAATTATTATTCGACCAATGTCAAATTCGAAGGATGCTCCATCTAAAGAAGACGAAGAACTTAAGAAAATGTGGGATGAAGAATTCAAGGATTTTAAAATGAAGCAAATGAAGTTCCAAGAAAAGGATGCAGTTCCAATACACTTGAAATGCGGCGCAAGAGACAAAATTTTGTTCTTCATAACAATCATAGCTGCCTTTTTTGGAGTAACAAATACCATTGGATTTGTGTATAACATGGCATGTCCCGAGAAGAATAACCAGGATCTTGATTGAAATTCATAAAAAATTTATTCGAAATATACAAAAATAAATTAAAATAAATAAAAATAAATTAAGAAATAATCATTACTCAATGTCGAACTTTAATTCCTTTGCAATTCGATTAATTTCATTGTCGAGTGACTTGTCATGAATTACGCACATAAAGTAATGCTTTGTGGAACAATCATGTCCTGTATAACCGTAGCTAAATAATGAAGGATTATACGACAGTCTTAAGCACCTTCCATTTCCAGATATTTCAGGAAAGTTAGAGCTGATTGTTGGAAGTTCTGCTTTTGTTGAATTGCTTGCATTAAGAACTTTAGCTGGAATTTTCGTTACTGCTTCATTCTTATTTGTTATTGATGTGATGTTTGCATTTGGATTAACTGGACGAGCTGATGTTGACCAAATCCATAATAATCCAGGATTTAAACCGCCGATCCAAAAATCATGTCCTCGAAGATCTTGATTGCTTAAAACGTGTGCAACCACATCTTGATATTTTTCAATTTTTTCAAATTCAGCAAGGATAGCTCCTAATGATTTACATTTAAGTGCTGCACTTTTCCAATCTACGCGATCTTTAGCACCAATATGATAACAATCAGTATTTATTTTTGTGAAATTCTTTGGACATTCATCTGGTTCTACTTTTTGATTATTTCCAGCCATCAAATAATAGACAAGTTGTTCTGTACGCTTTAATCTCTTTTCCATATAATCAACACGATATACCAATTTTTCAATAGCACCAAGCAGATATAAATCTGTTTCCGACACTTCACGTGGCGAATTAAACTGATATTGTCTATGTTGAGACTGAAGTTTTAAAGGAATTTGTTGTTGCTGTTGCTGTTGTTGTTGTTGATGTTGCATGCTTGGTGGTCCCATCATATTAGCAACAACTTTTCCGGCAATTGCTTCATTTTGCCTTCTTAAATTTGGCTCAGGTTCAACGGACTCTCCGATTCGTCGGTTTAAGTATGTCTCTGACGTTGGTATGTATTTATGATAAGGCTGTTGAAACTGATGTTGTTGTTGCTGTCCATAAAAGTTTGGCGGTGGAACTGTTTGAATTATGCGAGCCTCTCGACCTCGACTCGGAATCTCTCTGCAAATAGTATGTAAGATATATTGAGTCATCATTTGTCACGAAAGTGTTACAAAATAAAATTATGGTTTTTCCCGTTACTGTAAGTTTCACTTTCATTCATTGTCAATTATTTACTTATTTCATACATCACTGGTTAAGCTTACCTATTACTTAATGTCCATTCTTCTAAAAGAGAACTCCAAATCCCTTCTGGTTCTGTCCATTCAGCTGGTGAATAGTTGTTTCGTTTAGTGACATTCTTTAATTCATTCTGGACATAAATTCCAAACGTGGGTGTTATGAGTAGAACGTAAAATATGTGTATCATATTCATGATCACTTTGAATTCTTCTTATTCAAATAAATTCAAATCTTTATCATTTAAAATTTTATATCCGCTTTCATACGAACAAAAAAGAGTTTTAAGCAGTTCAACAGAAATATATAAAATCACTACCTGTATCTTCAACGATGTAAATATCAATGAAGTTTCTCGCATTTCTCTTTTAATTTTGCACATATACTTAACATGCAGCGAGTATTTCATTAAATGATTTTTTTTTAAAATTTGAGTATAGTTTGTGTAGTTAAAAAAACGTGGTAAAAAAGAGACACAATAAAACAGAGAGTCTATAGACCACATTTTTAAGGCGTCTTGTTTACCAACAACTTTCTTTTACACTCATTTCAATTGATGTCTCTTTTGGTTTACACCGCCTTACCTTGTATTCAAAGAGGAGAAAATGAAAAGATAACAAGAAGAAATAAAGCATAATTTTGGGAGAGAAAAAAAAATGGAGACAGACTTGAACAACACGTTCAAAGTTTACATTTCTGATCATCATGTTGATTATTTCGCTCTCAAACATCAATTAATGTTTTATGAGTCACTCTAGGATGATATCCATCTATTAAAAGAGACATTAAATTTGTTGATATTTTTGCATGCTCAAAAAAGAAGTGGACAATCAAGAATGAACATAGCTGTATGCTGAATATTTGACGTAAATACCTATTTTAGAGCAGAGTTGTTGCTGGGCTTTCAAAGCTATTTCTGAGAAATTTTTTAAGTTTCGTTGTTTTTAGACAACAACACCCGCGCACAATATTAAGGCGCCTGTGCTGCACAACTTCTCGTGCTTGTGTAAAATGTAATTCCATGAAAAACTTTTTTGCCAAAATGCATATTGAAGTATACCTAGCAACTCTCAATTATTGAAGAATATCTTGGAAAATTAAATCGACTGAAAAATAAATTGCATCAAAAGATTAAAAGACGATAAACTTACGTAACATAAATCAAACTTTTTACTTTACTCATTTCAATTTTTAACTTTCAGCGATCTTAAAAATGCTTTTCACAATTTATAAAGATTTATCTCAATTATACAAAGATATATTCATTTTAACAGTAGAAAAATAGGAAGAAGGAAGTAATGAAAATTAACACTTTTAATCAATATGTATCTTCTTGTAATTTTTAACATTCAATCCAATCACAAATCAACATTAATTTAATTTAATTTTTTTTTGTCACGTTACATTTTTTAATTTAATCATCTGATTTTTGACTTGATAAAGTTACATTAAAGACATTGAACGAATTAACTGATTGATTGATAATAGTGTTGATATTCATTCATTTTTTCAACAGACTGATGAATTTACATGACAAAAATTTCTTAACTGCATCAGCATAAAAAGGATTTGTTTTTGGAAATGGTGGTTCATCTTAGGGGACGTTAACTTACGTTCGCACTTAATTCCTTGTAATTATAGGTTTTTAAGCTATGGTTTTCAATAAGAAGTGTTTAATCTTCTTTGCTATTAAAACTTATACGTTTCAATCCCGGGATTATAATGTACTGGATCCCGGGATGAGATCGGGATTAAAAACCCTACTTATGCCCAATTGAATCAATCATATAACCTAAAACTCGAATTGAAAGTGTTCTAGATCTCGGGTTGTTTTTAAAAGTTTTCAAGAATTAGAAATAAATTTTAAAGAATTTTTTTTTGTTTAGCTTTTCGTAAAAATAGAATTACTGACTAATGTAACTACATTTCATGCTTTGTTGGCAAAAAATTTTGTAAAAATTAACAAAAATATTAATCATTATTTGATCATCTTTTTTAAAAATTCTATTTAATGTTTCCATAATCTACAAATTATAATTTTCATTATTATGTAATTTTTGCAGCCACATGAATTAGGCACATTAATTCAACATTTAACACTTTTTTGTTTTTGTGTATATCGTATTTTTATATAATTTTCCAAAAAAAATTATATGTATCAAACATTTAATGCATAACGAGAGTTAATACGTGTTTATAAAATATATTTTTTATTCCATAATTTTATTTACTATTTTGTTTGTATATCATTAATATTTTATTTTATTTTCTTGTAGAATATATTTCGTTTTTCTTCACATTTTGTGTATATCTATAAAATTCAATTAAACACCAGTTTTTTCACACTTTTCATTTTTTCAATTTTCATTAAAATTTCTGAGTACATTTTCATTATTCATGAATAAAATCCACGAATCATTGTTTTTTTTTGGATAGAGAAAGGCTTTGACTTAAAACATTTTACCATATTTATTTTTGGTCCGAAACAATTAATCTGTCAACATTAGAATTTTTTTTTGCTCACATTTTTGAGCTCCACATTTATCATAATAAAATTTTAATTGACATAAGTAGCATGCTTCTTAGTACATAAGAAATTAAATTTCCTTCATTATCATGTACCTATTTTAAAATCAATTTGATTGAATAAACATTTATCACAGAATAAAGCATGCATTCTTAGGTGAAAGTTTTAAAATTAAAAAACAAAAAAAAAATCAATTTATGAACTTTTTTTCAACAAAAAAGAAAAAGCTTTTTTAAAGCTTTTGAATAAAAATAAATTTCTATGAAAGACTTAAGGAATTTTCGTTGTTTCATTAGGGATCATTCAACAATGATGCTTCTAAAGATGTAGAAAAATCTGAAGAAAAGTTGTTCAATGTAATTAAATGTCGCACGTTTATAGAAAAAAAAATGAACAATCATCCTTCAAGTTACCGAATCGATTTTGGCTCGACTTTTTAGAGAAACTTTAAGGATTCTTTAAATTGCAAAATAAGTCATTGACTTCATATTTCTTTTTTTTTTGCTATAGACATAAAAGATATCTGCAAATATTGCAGCTATAGTCTATTTATAAATTTTGTACGCGTTCTTATATTTGAACAATGTTTTACTCTTATCAATTCTATTTCCATTTCTTTTATTTGTCGCTTCTAATTAAAATTATCGTATGGATAAAAAGTTACGGCAATTTAATTATACAGTTTCTCGAGCAATGCTAATTAAAATTATCATTATTCATTTTCGATGAATCAAATTAAGAGATGAAAATTGTAAAACGGGTCCTTCACTGATAAGGTCCATCAAAAATAGATATTTTTTTATGAACTTCCTCCTATCTCCTTGACCGATTTGGTTTTATCTTTTGTTCAAATTGTCACAAAAGCCTCTCCTCTCTAATGAAGTATGTATTAAGTGAATGACCCCAAACAGAATGAAGAAGCTTTACACTAATAATTTTTCATTAAAATGATCCAAATTGGAAATATCAATCATAATCCATTCTCATGTTGAAACTTTCCAGCTCTAATTCTACACATTTCTTGTTCACATTTAATACACACCTCCAAAACATGCATTCACATATGTGTATACGATACAGTGCCACAAAATGACAGACAATCAATTTAATTATTATTTCATTTTCACGATGAAATTTCACTCTTCATGTGCACTGAATTTCCACTTATACAATGATTGATATCAATCGACGATACATATCGTAATTCTTTTTTGTTCATTAATTTCTCAATTTAGAAAATCATGTTGCAAAAGAACCAAAAAATATTATTATTTTTTTTTTTTGTTATAATTAACATCACTTGATTTTTGTAACGACATCATTGATGACACTTATAATCCACATATTGTTGGTAATATTTTGTACACAGTTTCCATTGATTCTTACCTGAAAATGAAATGAGAAATGTCTCTTAAACAACAAATATTGACGACGTAAATGTTCACAAGTTGTTTAGCAAATTTGTATCAAGTTCATCAATTGTAGCTGTTCCGTCATGAGCTTTTGAAAGCTTATTAATAATATTATTATTATTGTGATTAATATTATTATTAAATCCATTAATAAGAAAATCTCGAGTACGCTGTAATTCTGGACTATAACGGAATGGATTTGATGAATTTGTAATTGGCGTGTTTGGAACAGATGTATTCATGCTGATGCCATTTACATTAGTGTAGTTGTTGTTTGAATGATAGGGTAAAGGTGTACATGGCACTGATCTTGATATTGAATTGAATCTAGGACGCATTGTACCCGAAAGCAACGAATCACTTTCAGAATGGTTTGAATTTTGATTCAACAAGTCATTATCTAATAAATCACTAATGACATCATCATTTGTTTCCATTTTAATCGTAGATGATAAGGGTGGCTGCTCATTATTGAATATTTCTAGTATATTTGTATCATTAAATTCTTGATAATCTGATGGTACCGGCGTTGCTGCCATTGAGCTACATGCTGAAGAATAATTGTTATATGTTGCATTATTATTTCCGCCATAAATGTTATTTGTACAATGAGGTGGAACACTTTGTGAACGCGACTCAACTGGATAATTATAATTAGTTGTACTTCCTTGCTGCTGCTGCTGCTGCTGCTGTGGTGGAGCAATACTTTGATTACTAAATTGAAACTGTTGTTGTTGTTGTTGTGAATGTGGGCTAAAATTAAAGTGATTTTGAGGAGCCATTGAAGGACTTGGTGGTGCTGAATTCGGTTCCATCTTAAAATGTGTTGGACGACAAAATGCTGTATTGTTAACGCCCAACAGTGGAATGTTTTTAGATGTGTCAATCGAGACATTTGGAGATCGAACACTTATAGATTGTTGATTATTTGGCTGCTTAGTTGAAACTGGTGTTACTCGTGGACTTATAAATGGACTTGTCGGTTGATTGACATTACCATTTCCATTGGTTCTAAATGCTGGATTCAAGTTAATATTTTTCACGCGAGAAGACTGCGATGGAATTGGTACAAAACTAAAATTTTTACGTCGCGTATTTGGGGATTGTGGAACTATTAATTTGTCAGATAGTCCAATATTGGATTGAATTGAATTCATTTGAAAATTTCCCGAATGTTGATGATCTCCAGTTAATGCAGATCCTTGAAATAAATCTGCCGCATCATTACTCATATTTTGTTGCTGTTGATGATTGTGGTGATGGTGATGATGCTGCAAATGGGGGTTCTTAAGTAATAAATTTTTAATGACAGAATCATTACTAGTTGAAGGGTTTGCAGCACTACATGACGTGTTGTATTTCTCTTCTAATATTGATCTCAATTGCATGATTTTTTCAGCATTTTGTCTATCACATTTATTATTATTATTATTATTGTTATTATTTTCATTGAAATTTAATTGATAATTCTCTAAAAGTGGAACAGTAGTTGTCATTGGTCCCAAATCTTCTTCAATGCATTCAGTATTTTTATTATGATTTTTGTCCTCACCAAAATACTGTAATAATTCCAAATCTTGTGAATTTTCCTCACTATTATTCAAATAAGTATCTAATGCATTACGATCCATATTGCAAATGCTTATGAATCTCTCACGAGGCAATATGAAATCTTCTTTAAGAGGCAACTCATTTGAATCAACTGAATTTAATGGTGATTCATTTGCAGCTGCTGATTCTTCTAATTTTCGTTTCATCATTTGAATAGTTTCACGCTTTTGCTTGCGTTTAGAAGATGTTGGCTTTAATATCGTTGACTCGTTTGGATGGTCTAAATTTGGTTGGTTATTTATGACATTTGAATTATGGCTGTAAGGTGCATGCATCGATCCAGGATGATTATTAGGATTAACAAAAAGATTGCTAGTTACTGTAGATGTTACGATATTAGGAGGATTTGCAGCAGCAGACATTTTCATTTGTTGAGCTTGACGAACTTTTTTACAGAAAATATTATATTTATTCTCTTCCGGTTTCTGGTCATTTGCCTCAACTATTGGCAATAACTTATTCTTCAGTTTATTTTTTATTGTATCACTATCCAAAAACTGAGAGCTTGTACCTTGTTGTAGTATATTTGTACTTGTGGTTTGCTCATTTTTGATACGTCTCGATTGTTCTGTATTTGACAAATTCATTGGAACATCTGAGGAGTTTTCTGAATGATCATCATTGTTTTCGATCGCACTTCCATCGGTTTCTTTTTCTTGTTTTATTTGAATGCTCGCTGTATTATAATATTCCGATGTATGTTCAGGTGATGATGTTGTTGATGCTCTTCGCTTTTTACGACGTTTTCGAATTGATTGATTCTGGATACAAAAAAAGGAAATAAGTATGTCATATTGTAATTATAATTTTAAATCTACTCACGTTGTTTCGTTTTCTATCCTTCATTTCACGCTGCATCAATTTCTTTTGTAGCACTTGCTTTGAGGTAGATGATATTGATGTGATATTTAAATTATTTTGAGAAATGTGCTCTGCAAGATCATCCAAAGATTCAAATTGATTGCCGAGCAAATTTTCAGACCAATTTTTAATCACTCTCCATGTAGACTCATTGTCACTTCCATTATTATTATCATTATTATTATTGTTTTTCTTTGATGTAACTTCGTTATTACGAATTTCAGGGAGTTGGGGTGCAGTGAGTTTTGTAGCTTTTCTCATTGCAGCATAACAATATCGTGAGTGACCTCTTGTACCTAAACGTCGTGGGCGTATATCGGGAAAAACTTGCTTCATCACCTTTCCAAAATCAGCCGTTGACAAGGGCTTTATGTTAATTTTTGCACAAAATGTCCTGCATAATTAAGTATGATTGATTCTTTAATTAATTAAATGAACGAAGCTTTATCCATAAGAAAAATACTTACACATAATCCTCATATACCTCTTGTTTCGGAATTGAAACTTTATCATCTTGCTCTAGATGTGAACGAACCCAATTTATAGTATGTGATATCTCGGAACGTGAACCTAGGGGATTCTGCGATTGTTTTAATGGATCTGTAAAAATAAAAGTCAATATTTTAAAATGTTAACTTTCCATTTTTGTTTATCGCTATCTCATTATTAATCTCAGTTAATATTTGGATTTATAGCTCTAAGATTAAAGAAAATTTCAGGGAAATCCCATGAAATCAAATCTTTAACTGATATAAAATATATTTCTAAAAATATCATTGGAACGCATGTAATAGATTTCCTTAAAATATTATTATATTAAACACTTAAATCTGGATTATTCAGTCATATTTAATAATTTGATGAAATAATTAGTCATTTCCTTCAAAGCCCTTTCTCTTTCATTTTATCTTTTGTTTATTGACGAAAACAAGTGTTATTTGCTGTCATGAAAACGTGCAAAACAGCTGAAACATCGTTTTATTTATTCTCATTAAACGACTTCAAAAGCAAATGTTTTTTTATTTTCTTTTTCGGGAGTCTCAATTTTCCTTATCTCGTTTTAAGTCATATCTCTGTTTATTCAAAAGTTTTCATCAGGTAAATTCTCACAATGTTAATAAAAACACGATAACGACATTGTTCCATGAGACTCTAATAAGCGATAAAATTATGAACGTGATGTCTACAGATGTATACTACATTATTCTTGTTGTAGTTTTAAATAAAAAAAATGAACTCATAATAAGCTTTCCGTTCATGATTAAAAAGTTTACATACAAAGTCATCTTTTTCTAATATGATGTATTGAAAACAAAATTAAAATTCAGTCCGATATTGAATGTGAGAATAAGAAAAGAATACGTTAAAGAGAAGATGTGTATCTATTTACAGCATACAAAGGCAATTTGAATGTAGGAACTTGTTAAAATCTTATTCATTCTTATCATTAACATGATAATCGAATAAACTAGTTTCAGTATAAATGGACAGCTGATTTAAATAGCTTCTTAATACAGTAAATTATCACAAATAAATAGCTTAAGATTATTTAAATTCCGAAAGTAGTCTGATTTTCTATAAAGTGTCACATAACTTTAATGCTGGACGTAATTTTTAAATGACAAAGATTGCAAAAGTTGCTTTTGATTTAAATTTTTCTAATGTCTTTTCCTCCCAAAATAGGAATTATGTTTGTGTTTTTAAAAATCATTTTACAATGTTAAAAAGTATCTTTTTGAAAAGGTATCATAAGGAGTTGAATTTCATTTACTACAGCAACAATTTACTAAACGTGGATTTAGCAAATAATCACATTTTCCGTGATTTGAGACAACACGCGAAATGATTGTCTTAAAAGCTCAACTCATTATAGTGTGTTGGTTTCACTAACTACCACAGAATTAATTTTCTCTTCTTCTTTGTTGCATTTGAACAGTATAAATCAACACAATCAGTCATACTTATGTAAGATTTGTTCTAAAAAAACAAACACTTGAGTCTGCTGATTTTTATTTTCAAGGTAAATCTCATTAGCTTATTTTCATCAGCCATTGAACCTCCCAGAATAAAAAAAAAATCAATCATTTAGGTGTATTTGACAAAATGCATTTTAGCTTCGTATCTTAACTCGTATCATGTTAAATGTCTTTTTCTGACAAAATGTCGATATGTTATCACACATGCTGTGGCCTTCAAAATATTGAAGTGTAAAGGAAAAAAGAAGAAAAGAAAAAAAGGGATACACATTTCGATAATGTCTATAAGAAAGAAACTTTTTATGAATGTAAATCCAATTTGTTGCATGCTCAAAATAAAAGTCCCTTCAATATTTTATCTGATGTAATTTCTTTTTTCTTCTGTTTATTTTAACCATTCGTGCCCCTTATCAGCTTTGTTTTCATTACTAATAATTTGTTTGCGCTATGATTTTTTTTTATTCCTCTTGAAAGTATATATGGCTGTATTTGTGTACGTATATTTAATTAAAAATCGCTATACTGGTACACAAAAATAATCATTGATTATAAAATTTCATCGAATGCAAATAGCTAAAACAAGGTATAATATCATGGCGAAGGAGTTTATTGAAGTATTTAGTTTTTTTTTTTTGACAACTAGAACACAGAACTTGAAGTCAACATGAATATCCATGAGTACTTCGAGATCTGCGTGGAACACTTCTTTATAGTAAAACTTACCAACTTCACAATGACCACCAGGCATTTTAAGATACAACAAAAGTTTTTCGGCTGGACGTAATGTTGATATTTTTTCCAGAATAAATGCAATTTGCTGTTTTGCCTCATCGCTATAAATAAAGTCAAAAAAATTGGAAAAGGAAAAAAAAAAACAAATAAAATATTAAAAAATTATTTTTCTCCACTTAAAAAAAAACTTTTAAGCAGAATGAAAAATACGTAGATGAAGGAGAAGAGGAAAAAAATCGGAATTAAATATTTAGATTTTTACTTGTGTTCTTTTCTTCTTATTTTCTGTGTGTTTGGCTTTGTAAATAACAAATTAATTAGCATAAAATATTTTTTTTCCTAGATTTCAATAAGCCCATCTCCTCCTCCCTATATGTTTGCTTTATACAACTGCTGTGCAATTTTTTTTCAATTATACATTTTTAATTACCTGATTGCTTGTTCCATAAGCTTTTTCATTCCTTGTCTTTTATCACAACTAAAATCGTCGTCATCTAGACTCATAGATGCATTGAGCAGTAGGTTGTCAAAGGCATTGATTTTATTTAAATTAATTAATTGCGAAAAGATGGAAAATTTTGTACCATTAAGGGAGCCTTTATTAGTTGCAATGACTGGTTCATTATCAATAAGAACATTATTTGTGGAAGCAGAAACTTGTGATTGGTAGTGCTCATTGTTAAAATCAAATGGATGGGATGTTGATGTCGATGATTGCGGTGACAAAATATTTAGATTTGATACCGATGACGGTCCAGAAATTTCGATGTCACCATTTTTCATTTTGCTGCTATTAAATGTCGATGAAGCCGAATCACTGCTATCATTTTTATTGTTAATATTACGATAAAATTGATTTGGTAAATTATTAAAGGCTTGCTTCCACGGCTGAAATGTCATTATTTTATAATGATATTCACATTGAAGAACAAGGAAAATTTATGATCCAAACTTAGAATAATAATTAGACTTTTAAGGAAGAATAAATTTAAATTATAACACTTCATTCACTATGTAATCTCTCTTCCTACTTTTTTCAATTTTTTTTACATTGACTAACATTCACAAAAGATTCTGAAGTTTTTGAAGGTTGCCCACATATTATAGTTTTTAATGCTTATTCATAGCTGATTTCATTTTATTTTATCATTAAAACACGCGAAAATACTCAAGTGCACTTGTGAATGTCTTTACAGGAAGGATATCTTGTGACGATTATCACACAACATTTTTTTACTCTTTAGATTTCGAGTTAATGATCTCGCCATTTTAAACCAGCTGATTTTTCTCTAGCTTTAAAAGTTACGTCTACATCATTTTTTCGGAATCCAATAATTCAACAACAAAAATTTCGAAGAATATTTTTAAAACCTTTATAAATTGCAAGTGTTGGATGTGGTGTAGCAAAACTAATGTGTTTTTTTTACAAAATGTTGCGTAATGCTAATTTAAGCTCAAAGCACTTAGATTCAATGAAGAAAAGTGCTTAATATCAGGGGTTCAAAATTTAAAAATTACAATAATCTCAAAATGTTTTCCTGACGAACTCCTTTTCATAAGTCAAAAAAAAAATTGACTTAAAAAATCTTGACTTGATGTCACTTGTTAATAAACTTATTTTTTGTTTTTAAATTAACCATGTCAATGATGTTAGATCATTCCTTAATGTTTATTTCAGTATCTGTTCCTACAAACCTTTTTATCTCATTAAGTTGTGCAAAAATAAAAAGTTGAATAATTATTTCAAATACAACTTTTAATTAATTGTGCTTGACTTTTAAATTTGATGCATTTAACAAAAAAAAAAAAAATTAACAAAAAGTAAAGCGTTGCTTTAAATTTAAAAAAATACGCTACAACATTTTTATTTTTTGGAAAAAGCTCTTTTAGAGAGCTTTTTTAAAAAAGAATTTTCTCTTACAATTTCCAAAAGTTTAAGTTTCATTTAAAAAGTAGAATAAGTAAATTTCGTCTCGACTTCCAAAATATCCCGTTAATCAAACACGCATGTTCGCAATGAGGAAAATCTTGAATGAACTTTCTATTTTTTACATTCTCGGAATGCATTTCTTTCCTCAACCATAACCCGAAGAGGATATTATATTATACGATTGCGTGATACGAACAAAGGAGCGGCAACAAGAGAGACACACCATCACGTTTCTCTAAAAGTCGTTTCAGTCTTTGTGTGAATTTTCTATCGGTAACATCCGAGACGACATTTTAATGTTGAATTACGGTGAACGCGAGTCGTTTCGCTTTTTTTCTTTCTTTTTTTTCCTACTTTTTATTATAATATTTAAATAAAAGAAAAGAAAAGTTCAACACAGAAAGAAAAATCCAGTGAGAAACGGTATAATAAATTTAATTATTCATATTTCCATTACCTTAATCGAGAAAACGTAAGACATCAAATCAATTGTAAAGATAAAAGTGTGAAAATTCATAGGACAAGTCAAAAGAAGAATGAAGGATGATTTGTCAATTTAAAATTTGTGAAAAACTCATTAATTCCTTATTTGACTTTAGATTCTTATTGAATTAGAAAAAAATAAAAATATATAAGAAGGAAATCGGATTTGAAAAATATTTTTTCTCCACCTCTTTACTTCTTTCTCTCTCATACTCTTTTCATCCAACAAAACATCCATCCATCTATCTAGTCTTCAACATTACATGTGAGCGTAAGTCTCGGGTCACCTCACACTACTGTGTCATACATTCTTCCCTCGGTTCACACGATCCAGTCGCTGTGCACAAAAAAAAATCTCCATTAATAAAAAAGCAGCATTTCATTCAAGGTTTCAAGGAAGTACAGGGAATCTCTACACTTGTGAGAAGATTGTTTTGTTGTTTTTCTTATTTTTCTTCTCTCATTTAATGTTATTGTTGTATTCATTTTTTTTTTGTTTGTAACTCCAATAAAGACAAAGGGATTTTTGTTGTGTAAGGGTGGAAAAGATGTGATGTGATAGAAAAGTCAAAATAACGACATGAGAAATTTATATGTGCCTTTGTGTATCCTTTTTTGCTTATTTTGGGATATAAATTGTAAGATAATATGAAACTTTGCTATCTTCTCCTTCATCCGATTCCCTTTTCTAGTTCACGATTATATTGTTTTTCCTTTCCTTAATAGAATGTGTGGAGGAATAAATTAATAGAATTAAAATTTTAACTATTCACTTAGTCCTTTTTTAAAGCAAGACTTTGTCTAGTATTAATCCCAAAAAACTCTTTACTAAACTACTTTTCTGTTACGATGTAAAATACTTGAGAACCACTAATTTAAAGCTTGGGTAATACCTTGCTTAAAACTCATTAACAGCAAATTGAAGCTAGAACGTAAACTCTTTTAATTTGATGTCTAAAACTCTCCAAAATTCCCAATCACTTATTTCATGTGCTCGGAGTAGATTAAAAAATTTCTAGATCCAAGCATATAAATTCATGATTGATTCTTTTATAACTGGAATAGTAAGGTAATGGCAATATAAAAATTCTTATGTAACAAAAGAAAGTTGAGAAAAAAGTGCTATCAATGTCCTTCATCGTGTATAGCAGGCAACAGTAGTAGTGACATGAAGCAGCAGTGAGAAAGAAAAAAAAATAAAATAAAATAAAATAGAAAAAAAATATCAAAAAGAGAGGAAAAGAAGAAAAAATCGAAGAGAAATACAGACGAAAAAAAAGGTGGAATATCCATAAGAAAGTTTATCATTTGAAGGAAACAAAAAAAAAGAAGTATGAATAATAATAAGAAGAAGTAAGAAAAGCAACATGAGATCTATGTGATTCTTTTTTCCGTCGTCTATATGTGACTTGGCAAATGAAATAAAACGGATAAAAAAAAGAAGAAGAAGACATACAACGAGGTACATGCCATAAAAAAAATCCCATTTATGCTCACAAATCTCTTTTAATAAGAATATAAAAAGGCATGCACAAAGAACAATAAATTGATTGATTACATTAGTGAAAAAGTTAATTAGTGAAGTGATTGATATTCGACCATATTCTTTTCGTCATTGCATTGCAGTTTAATGGCAGGAATGTGAGAGATAGAGAGAAGAAAGGAAGGAAAATAAGAAGATATAATCAGATTAATTATCCCGAAAAAGGGCAAGTGAATATACAAACAATTACATAATTGTATACTTCTATCGTAATCCATTAACCCTCTCTATTTTCATTTCTCAAAACTTTCGCTCTCACTCACTGGCTCATATATTGTGTTGGTTTTATTGTATTTCTAGTTTTTGCTACAACTTAATGGAAATATTATACCGCTCTCTATGAGTATATATGAGTGTGCGGTTTATTATTGATTATAATATTCAAATGCATTTTCAACAATACTCACGACATGACATATGACCCGAAATATGAAAATGTGTGTCTATAAAAGTTGATGAAAATAAAAAAAAAAATAATAATAATAATAATTGTTGAAATACAGTGTGAAGGAGCTTTTCAAGGAGAAATTAGTGAATGATTAAATATACACACCTAAAAAGGATAAACCTACATAGTAATAATAATAATAATAATAATATAAGAGATATAAATTATCTAATAGAATAATATCATTATTATGTGTTTATATAGAAATGGATACAATATATAAAGCCGTTTAGAATGAACAGAAAAAAAAATCAATGATACATAAGTGAGACGTCCTGTGTATGGTTTTCCACTTTTATTGCCAAGATTATTATATACACATCTATTTTATTTGATTTTTTTCTCCTCTTTTTCTCGAGATACGCTTCTCGTCCCTTATTCTCTCAAATATACAACTGTTGTAAGTCTCACCCAACCCACAAATGCTATTTCCATTGTTCAATATTTCGGTCGTGCATGCCACAGAAAATCATAAATCTAATTATCGGAAAACGAAAAATGATAAAATTTATGTTGGAGATCCATGTGCATTGTCGAGAAGAGCAACAAGAAGTTCGATAAATTATTGTTCAGTTCCAGTTTATAATAATAACAACAATAATAATAAAAATAATAAAAAAAATAATAATTGTAATATCTTCAATTGTTGCCGTGGTGGTAGTATTAGTAGCCGTGAAAGCTATACTCGAAGCAGCCATTCGTTTAATTCGGGATTGCCACTTTCATCTCATAAATAATTATAATTCAATTAAAAAATTTGTATAATGTGAACATAATGGAACAAAATTGAATACGTATCATGAAAATGACAAAACAAAAGAAATTTAATGGTGTATGTGGTGGTATTGTCCAAAAATAATTAAATAGTGTTGCTACATGCATAGAAACAATCATAATACAATTTGTACATCATCATTCATAAAAGACATAACTAAGACAAATAGGAAGAAACATTTGTGCACTAACAAGGATAATTGTTTTGTTTTTGTATTGTGATTCAATTACAAATATATAACTTAAAACGTGTGCAGCAACAACAACAGCAAAGACATAAAAAAACAATAATTTTTAATTCGGTGCATCGGAATTGATGGGGATGTTGAGGTCGAGAGGATTATTTGAGCAAAAGCACCAGATCAGATATGATGCGAAGTGGGACATCCGAGGTAAATTTTTATTCATTTTTTGTGTGAAAATTCAAAAATTTAATTTAAACATTTTGGTGAAAAAAAAATTAATTTAGGAGCAACTGCTTGAACAACAGCAGCAAGAAATTGAAATACTTAGACTCGCAAAATTACGTGAAATAGAAAAGAGACAAAAGTTTAGTGAAAGAACATTTAAAGGAAAGAATATAAGAGAACATAGCATCTTTTACACTACCTGTGTGCTTGCATTCTTCTCAGTATCTGCTGGCTCGTCAATTCTATTCTTAGTTCCACTTTATGTTGGTATGTTTCCATCAATAAATTATTTTTTTGCATGTTACTTCATGATGATACTGATGATGATATTTTAAGACACGAGATGATGATGGATAGTATTGAAAGAAGGATTAAACGATGAGGTTTCTGAAATCCTCTAAAATCCTTGATTAATATGGAAATGTGTAGCATAAAAACTCTGACATGAAAGAGAGATACATCTAAATTTAACATGCCATGATATCCCAGACAGTCGATTGAGTATAAATACAGCTATTATGAATCTTTCATGGTTTTATGCACATGTCAAACTATTTTTCTGTTTTTAAGCATATTTGCTTGTCTCAATCAAGTGATAATAATATTTTAAAATTGACACAATTTTTTAACAAATACAATTTGTTTGTTGAGTGATTTAATAACTTTCTGTCAATTATTTTGTGCTATATTTCCACCTATTTCAATTCGATATTTGACACCATGTGAAAAACAAAAATTAAATCTGAATAACATTTAACTGCCATCCAAAAATAATAATGTTTGTAAAAATGATAGTTTACATCTCATCAGGAACACTTAATATCATGAATCCTATCGTCAATCAATTTGAAAACGTTCCTAGCTGATCTTTAAACTATCATAAAATTTCAGATCCCGCATTATCAACACTTGCTGGTGATTTTATATCTCGTCCAACTTTATGTGTCACAACAAGACGTGAGGATCTGACAGGCTTATTAAATTGTACATGGAGCAGTTGTCGTGAAGGATGTACAAGCGATTATTTTAAGTGCAGTCATATCTACGTCAATTTTGTCGATATAGATAAAAACGAAAATTTTACTTATCCATATAATGCCACGTATGAGGAGTTAGCTAATTATACTATTGATATAGAGAAATCAACAATAGAGTCTGTGCTTCAAGTTAATATTAAAGGATGCGGATGTAAGGATAAAAAGAAAAGATTTATGAATATGGGAAACGGGACTGGGAAGATTATTCCGAGTTTCTATTGTACATCTTTTTTCTTCTTTTTATACATCCTTTCCAGATCCTCCAAGTGTACGTTGTAAAAACTTTACAGATACATTTGGATATGAAGGTAAGCAATTGAAATTGCTGCAGCAGCAATTTCATTCATATCTAATTTCTTTCCTGTGCTCCATATTTTATGCAAACTTTCCTTTCCTCTTCTTGTTCTATTTTTTTTTTGATCTTAGGTGCAATTTACCCTTGCTTCTATTCAAGAAAAAATAAAACTGTGGTTATGACGTCATATAATCGAGATTCGCAAGTGAATACTATAATACATTTTTTCATAGTGCCATTTATCATAACGATAATAAGTAGTGTTGGGATATGCATAATACATTGCAATTGCTCGTGTAAAAAGGAACGTCCTAAATATCGACGACCAAGGGTAGAAAATATAAGGTAAGAGATTATTTCTTTGCCTCCTGTACATCAATATGTCCTCAAATTCTCTACTTGTATAATGAAAGCAATCGATAATTAAAAAAAAAGATTACGTAAGAAAGCTCTATTTATGTCCTGACATTTCTTTCTTTAAAAAACATTCTCCTTTTGCGATTTTTCCTTATTTTTTGTGATGTGACCAAAATAAATTTCAACTAAACCATTTATTAAGGTACAGTATACGTTATGGAGTTCAAAGTTATCGACATTCAATTGTTGCTCACAGAGATCTTCCTTCGTCAAAAAAGACATCGGTTATATCACGTGCTGTAACGATATAGAAAAGAGTCAAGCACAATTTGTGTCGAATAAAAAAGATAATGTTTATGTTGCTATTGAAAGCTTCTCTAAACAAAGTATAGCCAAATATAAAATGGAAATGTCTTCTTAGTCTACATACTTTCATACATACTATGTCAGAGGAATTAAAACACATTCTATGGATAAAAATTAATTTCTATTTAGTAATGTATAAAATGTATTTAAGGCTTATATAAAAGTAGCAATATTAGTGAAAAACAATAAAGAAACAAATGCAAAAATAAATATTATTAAAAATGCTTTTATCCACATTACATAAGAGCATAACAAACTATGATGCAAATTTTCATTCATACAAATGTCCATGAATTCTATATTTAGATCCATTTCATTAAAAAATCGATTTAAATCATTTCCATTAAAATTCCTTGAGAATTAGATTTAAATTTTTAATTTTGTAAGATTATCCCTAAAATACATGCGGTGTGGTTAGTTTTTTTTAAAGAAAACTACAAGTCCTCCGTATCCCAGCAAGATAAGTTTTAAAATCAAACACAAATGTCATCACTCAAATATCTCAGTTCGCTATAAAAAGTCATTGGTCACCACACCATTAATGCGCAATTTATTACTTCTTAAAAGGATAAGAAAGATATGTAACATATCTTAAACATTAATTTATGTTAAGTAGCATTTAAAGGAAAACAAAATATACAAAAAGCATTGATGACATCTCCCCGGAAAAGTGTATAAAAAATTATACATTGTAAATAATGATGAAAATCAGCCTTTTTTATACGAAAGTCTTCCCTTCCATTTTCAGTCCATAAACCTTCTAATCTTGCAGCCTCTGTATTTGACATTAAATAGCGAGCGGACCAAAATGAGTCAATAAATCAAAATGCGATATGAATCTTTTTCATCTCCTTCCTAACGGCAAACATACCGTTGTATAAAGGCATAAGCAAGGAACGAATTGAAATAATTTTTCTTAGGATTCTATCACTTCCTTGTTACTATTACTTGCTCATGTCAAACCTTGTAATTATTGTTTTTACATGCCGACTAATAAGAATGAAAGCTCATTTGATTGTTTCAAATATTTGGATGCATATCAAAATTATCGCTGATAGGCATTCAATGTAATCCCACTTTATCACAAAGATTAAGCAATTAAACACATTTTCGTGATTTTTTAAATTAAAATTAATTAAAGTCGACCAAAACACTCGCTCATTCGGTCTCAAGTAAAAGGTACGCTTTTTAGTTGAATTATGTATGTAAAATCTGATCTAAAGAGAGCAAATGTTATCGGGATATACCAGTATCTACATTTATTCATAGATTACATTGGATAATACAGACAGGACAAAATGCCTAATTGAATTTACAAAATCATTAATGTGAATTTTATTCAAATTTTTATATTCACACCGTTTTCAGGTGTGAATCTATTGGTTTTGTTCAGATTGAAAAATCAGTTTTTTGAATTTTGTGAGGATATGGAGCAAGATAGCTTAAAATGTTCAGAGATGAAAAGTTTGTGCCTTGAATTTCACATCTTTTGCAACAAACAGATTTCAAATTGGTTGCGGCATTGCTGAGAAAATCGCAAAATATGCTTTCTGTAAGCAAGCAAACAAGCAACTTAATCAGCAAGAAATCTCAATAACGAGACATTGTAGAGACTTCTAGTTTTTTACATTTGATCCGTGCTACTCTATAGAAGAGCTGTATTGTTTTTGGGCAAGGTAGGAACAGCCGTTGCTTCAGAAAAAGAAAAAAAACTTTCCTTTCTTACGAATTTTTCAAATTAAAAGTTCTTTGTGATTTTTTTTTAAATTAAACTTTGGATGAAAAAAATTTTTTTGGGCAAAGAACCAAGTAGGAAATACGTTTTCAATTTTGGACTAGGGGCGACCCTAGTCAAAATCAATTTTGTCACTTTTTTCTTCGAGGGTTTATCCAAATGGATTGAAACTTTGCATAAATATTCTAGTGCTTAAAACAAATACAAATAAAACATCCTAAAATTTATTGAGCAAAGAAAATTGAAAATGTATTTCCTACTTGGTTCTTTGCTCAAAAAAATTTTAAGATGTTTTATTTGTATTTGTTTTAAACACTTGAATATTTATGCAAATATTCAATCAATTTGGATAAACCCTCGAAGAAAAAAGTGACAAAATAGATTTTGACTAGGGTCGCCCCTAGTCCAAAATTGAAAATGTATTTCCTACTTGGTTCTTTGCTCAAAAAAACTTAGGATGTTTTATTTGTATTTGTTTTAAGCACTAGAATATTTATGCAAAGTTTCAATCCATTTGGATAAACCCTCGAAGAAAAAAGTGACAAAATAGATTTTGACTAGGGTCGCCCCTAGTCCAAAATTGAAAATGTATTTCCTACTTGGTTCTTTGCTCAAAAAAATTTAGTATGTTTTATTTGTATTTGTTTTAAGCACTAGAATATTTGTGCAAAGTTTCAATCCATTTGTATAAACCCTCTTAGAAAAAAGTGACAAAATTGATTTTGACTAGGGTCGCCCCTAGTCCAAAATTGAAAATTGATTTTCTATGGTGTACTTTGGTCAAAAAAATTTTTTGGATGTTTTATTTGAATTGACAGCTTAAAAAAATCTAAATCTAAAATTTCTACTACCCCATCTGAATTTTGTTCACACTCTTCACTGTGGAAACCAAAAAACAAATTCTTTATCTTAAAACACTTGAAAAAATAGCGACATAATTCAGGATTAATTACTTTTTTAATAATATTTTAACATTTATTAGAAAATGTGGTTCAAATAAGTGTGAAGTATGGCCGAGATTTGGACCAAAATCAGCTATACTGGTTGATAGTGTTCCCGAGGGTGACAAAATTCAAACTAAGTTTTTTTGTAGCTGACATAATTATGACATAAATTAGGTATAACTTTTGAACTGTGTCGATATGTGTCTCGGCCGTACTTCACGCCCACCCTTCAAACTTATGCTGAGCAAATCTTGGTACGGTGTGAATATATCCGCATTGGGTTTCTACCCGATACACTAGTTCTTTTCCTTTTTTGTTTCTTATTCTTTTATTAAATACTTAATGTCAGGTCCTTTGGATTGGATATATTTTTAATAAATTTTAAACCCTCGAAACTTAAATTCCCAAAGTATGAATTTTGTGCTCTTGAATGATATAAGTATAAATTTAAGCATGCCTGCTTCATGTGTCATTAGCAAAATAAAATATTGTTTCTTTGTCATAGCTTAGCTCTTACTTTCACATACACATTTAGTACAATCGTCTAATGTAAATTAAATGGGTAGACAACAAAAAAGTTGGTGTATGTAAATGAATATCCATGTATATAAGAACGTACATAAGGATCAGCAACATGGCATAAGCTTTACATTATTTATATAATAAATAAAACTTTTTACAATGTAAATGATAAATGTGTAGCATATAAGTAATTGTCACGCAAATTGTATATTTTCTACTCCATCTATCTTGCAATATACATTGCTGCCTTTCCTGCTGTTATTATTTTTGACGTTACTGCTTTTTTGTGTGTGTCCTTTAACGACTCACACCTGTCTTTCTTCTATCTCTTTCTTTCTTTTTTTTCCTTCATATCTTTGAATATTCAGTGTCACACATGCGATTTATCGTGCTAAAGTTCTCTTATTCTGTTACTGTTGCTTTATGTTACTTTTGCCAGCTATCAAGCTGTTATATTATGTGACTTTGAGGCTTATGTCTTTTGTTCACTTATACGAATATGTATATGATGTTTTCCTTTCTTTCTCTCTTTTTCTCTATTTTTCCCTCTTCCTTCATTTCCCATTCCTTGCTGTAGACCGTAATGTACATAATTTTCTGTTTTGTTTGTTTGTATGCAAACATTCTAAAGCGATATGGCATTAATTTGACAATGAAAAGTATAAAAAGCTCCTAACATATTAACAGATGTGCTAAGCATACCAAACTTACTTCCAGTTCATAAATTCTTTACTAGCACATCATTTACATATGATTTTTAACAGGACCAAGCTTAATGTCTTTGTTGTTAATACAAACAAGTGTAAAATAATCACAGAATTCAAGAGCTCTAGCTTAATTTCAAAATATTTGAGAAATTGTTTCAATCAAAAGGAAGTCAAACTAAGTGTGAAAAGTCGCAAACAAAAAATAATGCAAATAAATAAAGAAATTGTTACGTGCGTAGTACAAGCAACAAAATACGTTGCAACCTTTTATGCCTTTTTGCTTTACATGCCTCAGACATTTTTATCGGTGTTGCTTTTCTTTATTTTTCCCTTTCATTTCTCCCTCTTTTCATTCTCCCCCCGTCCTGTATAAGTTGAATGCTCTTGTTGAATGAATGAATGAATGAATGAAAATAAAATCATAATAAAAAGGGAAATTTAGAAGGTGTTAGCAAGTTCTCAATTATTGTCCTCCTTAATGTGTCATGTCTTGTCGTTTTGCGTGTTTTACAAACTTTCTTACAACATATGCAAGAGTTCAAGAAACGGAGAAATTTTGAGGTTAGGTTTAATAACATTTTACAGGTTTAGCTGCCAAGGGAATTATATTAAGACTATTTCCTCGATGATGATTTTCGATTTAATATTTATTTTTTAATATCTTTTATGAAATAAAGCTAAAGAAAATAAACTTTCAAAGGATTTGTTGATTTAAATACTTTAAAATTTCCATGTTCGGACGAAACGATAGAAGTCAGCAAGATGTTACCTTTCTTAGTTCATAAAAATAATAAAACAATAAAAGGTCTATGTCTCTACAAATTATAACAACAGGAACTTTTGTTTCTTTTTACTTGCCTTCTTTTCATACTTAATTATTCCATGAATATTAAAATAATAAAAAAGCAAAAGAAAAATTTGAGTCTTATGATGTTGCTGTTGATGCTAATGTCCATCAGTAACGAAATAAAAACTTTGACTTTGTGAGTGGCTTATTTAAAATTTTGGAATTTATAATTAGATTACGAGTTTTTTGA